AATGAATATTTAATTAAAATATCACTCGTGCAAATTTTTTCAATGAAATGATACATTATGTTTAATGTCTCCTGTATACATAAATATACTTTACAAAAAAATACAACTACATGTTTTCATGAATATGCCCCAATTTTCCAGGGCCGCAGGTATAAATGTTTTAAAAATACAACAAGCAGCCTCTCAGCTGACATAGCTACACTTTTAGCAATGCACATTTCAATTAAAGATATCAATCAGAATTGCTGTTTTCAACAAGAATTTATCAAAATTAGATAATTGAAGATATCACTCTGATGTACCAATATGCATAGTATCAAAGCAATCACACTTGCGGTTTTCAACAAGAAATGGAAAATACAACTTTTTACCAAAAATGACAAAAATATTCATCAAAATTAGAGAATCAAAGATATCACGAAATGAACAAATATGAGAGAGGTTCACATGTAGTACCGCTATATATATATATATAATATCCAAACAACCAGACTGTTTTCAACAAGTTGTCACTTTTTACAAGATAGGTGTACAGACATCTTACTTCTTTTCACCTGCCTAGGCGTCGGGGTGTTAGACTCACGCGGTCTCGACATGATTCTATAAAAAAAATGAACATTTATAATTAATTTGTCGGAGCTGTCTCTTATTTTGCGTGCAGGGCAAAGTTGTAATGTCCTCCAAAAATAGGCCTCAAAGAATGAGCGTAAACACCAAATTAAAAAGGGGCGCCTTGGGGGGGGGGGGCCTTCGTATTTTTGGACAGCATACTAAAGACAGCAGAAATGTCAAAAAATAACATGAAAGGCGGTTATTTTTTTCGTAAACGGCTATTAAACGAACGGTAGTGATTTGGTAAATACTGCCATTTGCGTGAAATTACTATTTACATTTTGAAAATGCCATCGACAAAAAAACACAGTTATGAAAGTAGCCCTGCGTACATGGATGTGTAGGGATGATATTTACATTGGGCTTCTTACGCCACCCCAACACAGGCTGTGTATTGGGGCGCAGATAAGGTCCCGGTGAATAGGAGCGCCTCCACATTCACAGACCTGTACACAGAGCTATTATGAAAGTATTAAACTAGTTTCACATCGGTATGCGAAAGCTAGCTATATATTCTTCCAGAAATTATACGAAAAAAGATGATGAAAAGGTTTATCTTAACAGTAGCACCACATAAACGGACTTAATGCTCTCGTGACAAAACTCTGCTCGAGGCCGCCATTATACACGCAAAGTAGGAAGTAAACCGGAAGTGACGTCGTGACCCACATCACCTTACCCTGGCGTGACTGTATGATCGTTCTGTTCAACTGGTAAGCTTGGATTAATTACCGTTATTGTAATTACATTGTTACGCGATTTGTTCAACCTCATTGGTAATGTCTTAAGTATTGTTGTTGTAATTTGTATATACCAATTCGTTTTTTCATGGTAACTTTGAGTGGGCCACGACACAGGCGCATGGAACGTTTCCTGGATAATAAAAAATGACCTAAA